TTCTTAGCCAGCCAATATGTCCCAATCGAACGTGTCATACTTTTTGTATCAACAACATTAATCAAGAGAGTAGCTATAGAAAAATAACTAGTACTATATTTATTAATCATGCCTTATAAAACTATCCTTAAGATAGATATCAGAACCATAATAACACTGCTTCAAAAAATACGTCAAAACCACTAACTAACTACTATGAGAAATCAAATTAATTTCTAACTTAAGAAGAACAAGTTTCATCCATAGCACACACAAACACATCACATAAGGAAAAAGTATGACCATTCGCAAATCCAATTTGCAAGTGTCGATTATCTGAACTTCCATTCTGGGGGTTATTTTTTACATAAATTCGCATCGAATCAGGTTTTATCCATTAATACTCCACGAATGCTGCTGCTAGTCCTCTACCTACATGTTCTATTGCACCTGAGCCTATAAGTCCAAATTGGATGAGATTCAATTAGCATAATAAAATAGATATAAAGAAAAAACATAAATGAAATTAGATTTATGTGTTCATGAAGGTACATAGTGCACTCACGAGCAAAATGACCTTTTTACTGTTGTGCTTGCTTCTTTTTCATTGGATGGTCTTTTTCTTTTCTTTAGTGCTTGTGCAATTCTCTGAATGCTTTCACTTGTGTTTTCTATTCAAGACTTCATTTGAGCTTGAAAGGCTTGTTTAGTTGTTTAGCAGCTTCTATACATGATTTGTTATGTCCCCAAAGGTTTTGACACTCTCTCATTATAAATCATATTTACAACCAATATGCTCCCAGTCTTTAGGCAAGGATGGATCAGATGACAGCTTGAACCTACTGCTCATCTTTCAAAGTGTGACATGTTGACTTCAACTCTCTTATCATGTTTGGCATTTCCCCCCCTTGGCTCATCGGCTAACATTAGGGTGCCTTTTATAGATGTCAAACTCACACATCTATAGCGTTAGAATTATCACTAAACTTCTCTTTTAAGGCTTGTCATATTTTATGAGCAGTTATATAGCGTTCAAACTCACACGTATTGTCATCCTACATGCTACTCAAGGACATATTATTATTCCTCTTCCAGTTTATAATGTATAGTATCACCCTTTTAGGTTGAGTCATGATATGATTGATGGAGAGGTCCTCAAGGACATGTTAAATTTTATAGTGTCAAATCTCATAATTGTCACCGTTCAATTTCTCCCTCGTTAAGTTCAACCATAATATTTTTATATTTTCATGTCATAATGTTATATACTACATGAAGATATAGTAAGCATATTAGTTGCTAGTAACATTAACATATGAATACATATTTATTTTGTCACTATATTTCAAATTAAATTAATGAAACTAAACATTAGAAAATAAATTCAAAGGTTCACTTTTGCTCCCAATCATCCTTTATTAGTCCAATGTCTGATTCCATTAATTGAAGTAGCATAAAAAATTATTAATTCTAGAGGCAATAGAAGAATTTTTATTAACATTTACTATGTCTTAAATATGACAACTCTAAGATATTTTTCTTTATAGAATTGAAAAATTAAACTCTCATTTTTTAAATATCATATCTTTCAATCTACTAATTTGTTTGGGGTGTTCTTTATATCAACAGAGAGCGCTCATGCTGTAGTTTTGATGAACATAAGTTTCAAATAACAAAATAAAATTTTATTTATGAGAAATTCGAACTTAAAGTTGATTGTTTGTCATAGAAAAAAAAAAAAGAGAGAGAAACACATTTAAAATAATCACACAGATTATTATAAAAATTGGGGTCAGTTTATATGCATAATATTTGAGTTCATACAACATTCCTTTATAATAATAGCAAGTCATAAAACTCTAATTCATGCTAACATGTTTATGACATATAATGCTAAAAGTAAACTAACCAAAAACACATCGGGAAACAACACACTCGAGCTCTAGTATAAATGTAAGAAAATTAAATCCTAAAACTAGTAACCTTCTCTTATGTGAAAATTGTGTCCCAACAAGTTATAATCATCAATTTTTTGGTTTAATATTGCGGATCCGGAGAATAATCACTAATAGAGAAAAGACTCTTTATTCCATCACTCAAATACCTTGAGCACAGATTCAAGAATACTCTAAGATCACTCAAATCCCTTTTGCAATTCTCTCAACCCCTATTTATAGGATTCTAGCATGAGGAGGTAATAGTATCATAATTAATTCATTCGAGGAATCATTTTTTGTACCTCCTCCGACGAAGACAGTGAGAACTTACATAGTGTAACTCCTCCATTATTCTTTCCTACAATTAGAGGGCAGAAATCAAAGTGGCATGTTCTAATTACTTATGCTGACCGAATTGACCTGATCCATCATGGGTGGATCGATTCAATCTGGACTATTTTCCTTCCATCAAAATTCTCCAAGTCGAAGAAACATAAGTTAGAGATAACATGTTCAAAAAGAGACCAGTTTTGGAGATCCATTTAGATGAGCTCCTTCTCAAGTCAGATCTTGCAAAGTCATCAACATGTTTGTCCATTTCTTGCGATCATTCATGGAAGATAGGACTTATAGATTTAGGTAGGGTTGGTTGAATTGAACTGAATCCTTTCTTTCTTGAGGAAGCTGTTATGGCGTTAGATCGATCATTGACATATCTGACTTTAAATTTCCTAAGATACTTTGGACTAATTCTAATCGAGGCATCATAGTAGGTTCTTTCTTCAAAATTGCTCCTTCTACCACCAATCAATTTTAACCATCACCTTGATTTGTAAAATTAATCCAACTTAGATCATTTTTCAAGTGTTATCATGTCATATAGAAGGGAAGAAGCCCTAAAGGGATGAGATCCGAGAGTCACGACTCGATCAAGTAAGAATTTTTCTTCGAGAGAAAAAATATCATATTCATCGGATAAAACCCTTCAATAGTCAAGTTAGTGTCTATTCATTTCCAGCTAAAAAAGTCTTTAAGAATTTTGAGCATTCTAATAAGATCAAAATGGAAAAAGAAAAACTTAAAAGAAGTCACTTTATATTGTGTTTGTTTCCTAGCTATTGTTTGTTACATAATCCAAAGATTAAGTACTTTAATTAGAAAATATTTTTTTTAGAAATCATATTGTATAAGTCGATGCATTGTCATCATCGATTTAATTGGATTTCACTTATTGAATTATGATTGATAAAAGATAATAGTAATATCATTTAGTTTGCAAATAGTAAGTGATAAAGGCAGAATTCGAGTTCAAGACCTTGTAATACAATTAAAATCTTTACCAATCAAGCTAGTTGACACCTTTATTTCATAAAATTTGTTAGGATAATACAATCTCTTGAAAACACAATCTTTTGAAAACTTGACTTGTGAAGCTCATTATCGGTTCATTCTTCTTAGTTATGAGTCCCTTGGACATCATGAATTCATTATTGAATATTATCGCCATTATTTGAAATGTCATTAAAAACTAAAATTTTGCTTTTTTTGATTCCCTTAATAGGAATTCTTATATTCCACTTAGTTGTGTCAAAACTTTTTTGATTTTATTTCCTAAGAAAGATAATCCAATTAAATTTCTAGCTTTTATTTGATTGTCCTTTATAATGTTTCCTACAAAATTCTTACCAAATTGATTATCATGAGGCTTAGACCTACTCTTGCCAATATCATTCTACCAAATTAATCTATTCATATACAAGGTATAAGTACCATGATACCTCCTCTTTTTGTTCTTGGATATCTTTATATTATGCAATTTAGTTAAAGTTGTATACATTCTTACAAATATAAAATGAAGAGTTTGTTTTCTAGCCAAAGAGATCCCTCCCTACTTAACACTATTGGTTAATGCATAGCGAATGAGCTTATCTATACTGTCTAATTCTAAAGATAATTTTTTAAAGTTAATGTTAATGCTAGACTTTAAAGAAAATTTTAACATAGCTTAATATGATTGCTAGAGAAATTTTTTTTGGGACAACGGGATATCATCAAAGAATCCTAATACCATTAGTTGGGATCATAATGCCAACCCTAAAGAGAATAGGGGTCTTAACATTAGAAATCTTCGTCTTGCTAAACATGATGTGTTGGGGAAGCACATCTTGCATTTGCTCAACAAAGATAATATCATGTGTCTGAACATTCTTAATGTCAAATATAGAATCTTAATCCATGAAACATTTGTAGAAAAGTATCTACCTCTCGGACTTGGAAGGGGATTAACAAAGCTATATGTTAAAAAAAAGTAATAATATTGATATTTAGAAATAATCTTGACTTTCTAAGATCAAAATTTCTTTGTTAAAATTACTATGAGGGAAGTTATATGTCCTTGAATGGTTCTCGATATTCAATGGAATAATATTTCCTATCCAATGTCCTACATATAAGTTATGCATGGATTTTACTTTTTATTTTTAGATTTATGTAAGAGCCATCTATGGGCCAAGAAGAACTATGGATTTCTCCTATTACTAGATGTTGTTTTCTTGTATATTCGTTTTTTTTCTTAACAAAAGATAACCGGTTAAGATAGGATTGAAGCTTGGGATCTTACAATCATATGTAATAAATAAATAGAGAAGCTCAACTAATTTTGCAAGAGTATAAGAATTTTCTCACTGTTGGAATGAGAAGGATTTTAGCTCTGAATCTGAACTTTGTGACATTATGAGTAATTTGAATTCCGTTGTTCGAAAACACACACACACACACGCACAAACAGAGTTGATGGCAAATTACCCACACAGCTCAACGCTCTAGCCCGGCCCAACGAGCTTAGGCCGGCCCAACACTGAACCCGGCCCGTGTATCGTCATGTGTATTGAACATGAAGAAGAATCGTTTCGAAATTACAAGAACCGCCACAGAAGAGAGACTTGATGGCAAGATTACCCACACAGCTCGACACTGGTAGCCCGGCCCAACAATCTTAGACCGGGCCAACCACTAAAGTCGGCCCGTGTATCGTCAGGGGATCTCGAACAAGCAGAAGCGTTTCGAAATTACAAGAACCGCCACAGGCAAAGAAAAAGAGAGGGAACTCGAATTCCAGTCCGAGAGCCACCGCCCTGCTCCGATCCATTCGAAATGGGCGATGATGACTACGGCCACCGCACTCCGCTGTCCAAGGCGCCCCGGGCCGCTGCGCCGAAGACCCCGATGGCCTCCCGGCTGCAGTCCCCGCCGTTCCCCCTCGGCTCCAACGACGACCAGCTCGAGCGCGCCCAGGCACGCGCTGCCGCCCGCGCCGCCTCCGTCCGACGCAGGTCCTCCGCCCCCAACGCTTCCTTCTCCTCCGGCGTGGCCAGCGACTTCATGGACCGCAGCCAGATCATGGATCTCTTTCATAATTGCATCAAGCTCGCCAGCGAGAACGTCCGCCGCCTTTCTTCTCGATTCACATTGCTTGGATCAATTCTTCTTCTTCTTCTTCTTCTTCTTTCTTTTTTCACTGTCATTTTATCCCTTGGATAAATGAAAGTTCTAGGGTTTCGGTTTTCCTTTCTCGATTACGCATCTTCTTTTGAGTTCTCCTTTTAATTTTAAAATTGTTTTTTTATGCAGAAAATTAACCAGAAAAATACATGGGAGCTGGGCCTCATAGATCACCTCAGTGAGATCATCAGGGTTAGTCCTGAAGACGATGATGAGACCAATTTCCAAAAGGTCCCCCCTTTCCCTCCTCGAATTTAATGAGTTTCTAATGTTTCGTCATCTTAATGGCATGTAAAACGAATCTTTTCTTAATGTAAAATTGGTTAGGCAAGTTGTACTCTGGAAGCTGGGGTGAAGATATACTCGATGAGAGTTGATTCAGTGCACTCGGAGGCATATAAGGTTCTTGGAGGGATCAATCGAGCTGGCCGAGAAGAAGATAATGGTTAGGATCTTCTGCTGCTAGACCTTTTCATAGCTAAAAAGATTAAAAATCAGACAACTCTAACGTTTGATTGCTAAAAGCATTCTCGTCAAGGTGCTATTTAAAATTTCAAAGACAATTAGCTTAATAACTATCATTATATGAAGAATTTCTTATAAAAAAGAAAGTTAAGAACTATGTTAGGAAGTGGATACAGTGTTAATTCCTTGTCTATTGTTACAAGGCCTTGATGAAGTTATCAGGTTTTTTTTTTTTTTTTTTTTGCTCTTGCAGCCTAGCTCCTGTGTCCGCATATCTATAGTTCCTATTAGGCATTGTGGTTGTTGGGTTATTGATAAAGAGAAATTCAGCAACATGGCTGGTCCATTCTTTCTTATCAAACCTATGATTCCTTTCTCTTCCAGATAACTGAAAAGCAGAATTAAATAATATTACAGAAAAAGAAAATTTTAACAATGAAATGCCAACTCTAGAGTTTGCTTTCCTTCTTTCTGAGTGAATCCACAGATAGCTGCTTCGAACTCATCCCACATCTAAATATGCTAGTTTAAGTGTGAAAATCATCCATCCTCACCTCTCTTGTAACTATTTATGAATTCAGGGTAAAATATGTCAGTGATTTAGTTGCTAATAGTGTTTAGTCACCAATGTTACAATATCCAATGACAGATAACATGGAAACAGTTGATACCATTGATACTGCACAAGCAGATGGCCTTTCTAAGAAGGACCTGGAAAGAAAGGTACTTATATTTCCTATAATAATTAGTTTTTAGGATGTTGCTTTAAGCTCACCCCACTTAATAACTGCAGATGTCACCTCTGTTGACATTGGAGTCATCTTTCGACGTGCTTAATTTGAAAAAGTTTGATGGTAACGCTTAATGCTTCTACTATGAATCCAAGAATTATTTGATATGTAAGTTGAAACTAATTAGTGAATCTTACATTCAGTGGCATTCGTTGTTGATCCTCTGTATCATCAGACTTCTGCACAATTTGATGAAGGTGGAGCTAAGGGTCTTCTATTGAACAACCTTGGAGTTTATGGTGGTTGTCGTGTACTTTTTGATTCATTTGAGTACCCAGAAAAGTGCATGTCATCTGGAATTGAAAATGACCAACCTGAATTTATTGATCTTTCATTTGCTAAAGGTATGGATACATGTTATGAAGTACTTATATTGTGAATTTAACGACTATTTATATATTTGTGAGGTTTTTGCTAATTGAAAAAAAAAACACTTCCTTTTATGCAGATTACATTGAGAAAATGATGATTTATATGCCTGCAACAAATGATATTTCACCAACACTGAGGGATATTGTTAATCAGTTTGATGAAGATAATCGTAGACCACCTGACATAAATTGTTCGGCTCAAGTGCCATTGGTTGACGATTATGTACCTGAGAACAACCACATAGAGCTGGGTGAAATTGCATCTGATGATGATTGTGGACCTTGGAACCTTGATCATGATCATCAGTTGAGCATAGTTGATGACAACTCTACTAGCACAAACCTGAATTTTACAAGCCACCAGGAGGCATGTTTTGCAAATTATGCTAAACTTGTAGTATATTATTATTATTAAATATTTGCATTGTTACACAGGAGGATTTTGACTGCACCTTTGGTGGTCCTATTGTGGAAGAAAAGTTTGAGAAAATTGCTGATTTCTTGTCTCTAGGCTTGGGATTTACTTCAAAATCAAATGCTTGGGCAGGACCTGATCATTGGAAATATAGAAAAGTCAAAGGTAGATACCCAAGAATTGATTTACTTTTACTTTATCAGACTTAGTTTGGCCAGCTCAGTTATTTTAAGGAAATGATTGTAGGTACAGAACAAGTTCAACCACCGGATACCAATTCAGAAATAGTAAACAGGAAGCCAAGGAACCGAAAGGAAGCTCGTGATGTTGATTTCACAAAATCATTGGAAAATGATATCTCAGATATCTTTGCACCTCCCAAGAATCCAAAATCATTAACTTTACCTGTGAACAAGGCAACAGTTGTTATCACACTTCCAGAAGATTGTCATTACCGACCCGAAAGTCTTGTCAAGTTGTTTCTACTTCCCAATGTTATGGTAAGTAGAGGTGTCAAAAGTTATTTGGTTGTTGCAAAAACACTTTATCCATCTTAATTGACAATTCTTTCAACTTCTTTTTAGTGTCTAGGAAAGAAAGGAAGAAAGTTTTCTGGTAAGTTTTGTTTTTCCTTCATGTGCATTATTATGATGCATCACTTTCATAAATTCGTCCTCTCAATTTCTTCCCCTTGTAGTGTAGTTGAGTATTTAATATATTGAAACTTCTTATCTTATTTTATGACACTTTGCTACTGCAGTTCTCCATAGCTAAAGCGATGATCAGCAAATTGTGTGGCTTAGAAATGTAATTATGAAATATATCCTATAATTAAAGAATTTTGTCTTGGTTCAAATGAGAATTGTGGTATATAAAGCCAACAAAAGTGATCAATTGAAGCACCTAAGGAGAATGCCTACGCATACAAAGTTTTTACTTCTCATCAACATGTACTTCGCTTACCATATGCTGCAATACCAGTCTGAACTTTTCCTAAGAAGTTTATACAACTTCTCTCTTCTCATAACATTGAGGCATGCCTGCTAATCCTTATTTCTTGTCCTTGCTTAGAAACGTTTTACAAGGAATTGGGTAGCACAATCTTTTCAATCTAGAAACCCTAGAACACCATTAGGTTTATTAACTATTTGTTGAAAAACTTCTGGGAAAAGGAGTGGAACAACAAGAATTAGATGAGAGAGACATGAGCTGAAAGAGAAAGAAAAAGACAAGTGATCTATTAACTGTTTTCGTAGGAGAGAGAAGTTGAAGTCTCTCTTTGTACATAAGAGACAAAGGGGGTACCCCTTATTATTTATTCCCTCTTCCAATAGGTTCATAATAGGAATTTTCCATTAAAGGAGGTGCTCCCATTCCTCCCATAATCCTGTTAGGAGAGGTGTTGGTACCTTTCTTCTCAAGCTTAATCAACATATAGGCCTACTCATGGTAATATGGGACATCATTTTCTTAATTGCTTAGATCATGAATTTTTGTAGTAGATCACACTATTTTACTAGTGATTTATCATTTATCATATCAAATCTAATTTTTGATGGTCTCAATTAGATTTAATAACTTGCTATAGAAACATTTATGTGAATAAGAAGCCAACTACCACATAAATCAGTTTAACTACTTTGCTTTTCTTGGCCTTATTGTTTTTGTATTTCATACTAAAAGGAAATTTAGTCTTTGCTTTGTAAAAGGCAAATTATGTGCAGATTCTCTTTTGATTGCTAAACAAATGTTTGCACAGATGAACCAAGACAAGATGATGAGAGCTCTGCTCAATTAACATCATGGGATAATGATAGCACAACATATGATAACTTTGATGATGGGACTGCCTGTAGTGATGCAGACGATCCAGGGAGTCTTGTTTGTCAACCACGCCAGGTTCGTACTCTCACTTTTAGAATTGAAGTCCTTCGGTACTTCCAATGTACTGCTTATCCACAAGAATGGAAGGATACTTTACATCACTCATGTTCTGCCATTTTTGCAAGTGCGGATGCTTGCCAAGGCATCTATAGAAGCAAGATGATCACTATGCTCACTAAGGCATCTTCATCAAGTTTCATTTGTAGGAGAACATGTGAACAAATAGGCCTGAAATTAAGGTTCTGGCTATAATCACATTTGATGCATAAAAAACTTGCTGTTATATCTGAAGGATTTGAACTTAAACATTGCAATCCAAATATTCTTCTTTCCTAAAATGTCCTGTCTGAAGTGAGGACTTTATGCAGCTTATGAAGCTAAAGCTTGATCAAATACTTTATATGAGAAACTTGAGGCCTAAGAAATTGACTGTAAACCCGATGAGGCTGAAATCTCTTCCCATCAACTGTATTAATCTGCCACATTCAATCTGAAAGAGTCATTTATATAATATTCCATTTTTTGAGAAGCCCCAGATTAAGAATATCGTATTGCTGCTAATTCCATAAAATACGGCCCTAAGTAGTTGCTGACATGAAGGCCTTGTTCTTGTTACGTTGGTTCTTTGCTGTGAGGGTCTCATGTACATCCTATAGGCTTTATCATTTTTGGAAATGTTGCTAACTGTACCGTATCATATTAACCTTTGTTCATTCTGAACTGAAGGTAAGGAAGGTGGATATTCAATATGATAAGGTATCTAAACAAGTTGATGTTCATGCACTGAAAGATATGCTCTGGAATCATATACAAGATTCGGTTCAAACCTCTAATGTGGTAAGTCCTGTCTTTTTTTCTTTATTTTGAGGTTGGTTTGCGATAAGGGGAATATATACCTTGCTAGTTGGATATCTTTGCTTGAATATTTGTTGCAATATCATGTATCTTTCTTACAACTTTTCCAACCACTTACAGATTTGATGTTTCTCAAAATGTAACAGCATTATTTTTCTTTTTAACAATGGGAAAATTCAATAAGTTCATGGAAATTGGCTCTGTACTAATGGAATCTCATCATCCATTGAAAATGGTTACTCCATTATACTCTCTTTCTCTCTATAATCATAGGACGAACCATTGACATAGCACAAGATGTTATAGTTTTTGAATAAATAGTTCCAGAAAAATTTGAATAAGCAAATAATGATTGTGTTCATTTTCATGCTTTAGATGCACAACTGACAGCAGTTAGAAATATAAATATATAAATTCAGCAATACTACATGACACAGAAGGGCAGGAAGCTGATTGCACAGCAGAGTCATCTTTTAGAATCCATATAGAGTCAAGTCAGATTGTACTTACTTTTTTTCTTTTTTTTTATGGATAATTTTTTACATATCTTTTGCTGTTATGTTAGGGAGCCCTTAGAGCTATATTTTGAGTCAAACTTTTGTTTTTTAAGCGCTTCTGTTAGCTACATATAGACTTGGAAAAACCTTCAAGTTATTAGGAAGCAAATTTTGAAGGATGTTTAATTCCATCCGTGTGCAAAGTGTGTTTCGTGTGAGACCTGAAATCCCAGGTAAAGAGTTCTAGGAATGAATTTGGGTATAATCGTATTCTACTTTGTTTGTTATTTTCTTCATCTCTTATATTCTTTATTTCTCCTGTTGGTCCTCCTTTATTTCTCTCTTCCTGTAGTAAACCAAACGGAACAATCTGCTACATTCCCCAGATGGTACTATAAGTGGTATTTTTCTTCCACTGACTAAAAAAATTGAATTTCTAATCTGTATTTCCTCATATTTCATCACTGTAGCTTGTTTATTTGTCCAGTTAAATGACTTAAGGTTAAATTCTTATAAAACACATTAGAGTTGATGCATTTCATATCTTGTCCTCATCACTGTGATCACTGTAACATGAAGCCAAGCTATGATTCAAGGCCTTACTCTATTGTTATATCCGTAACTTTTATATGAGATGGTAATATACAAGAATGCCTATATCCTATCGTAACACTATTTCTGTCTACTGTTCAAAATTGATGGTTGACTAGACCTGACCTGGAATCAAGGCAAAGGCACAAAGTTTACTACAAGGATTAAAGAATTCTGGTTTATAAGGTATTGGAGGAATTAACATGTTCATGGATCCAACATAATAGGAGATTAGCGCCCTTGCTGACCCTTGGTGGGTCAGCTTTGCTCTCACTCCTTGCTTTAGGTATATGGAAGCCATTGCAGTAAAGGACCAAGTTCCCTGCTTTGGTTAGCGCCCCTGCCGATCCTTGATGGGTCACATTAGCGCTCCCTGCTTTGATCGGCCTCGCTTAATTTGCTGAGCCTGTGAACCAAGTTCCACAATTTCAAAATAGAATTTGATTTCTCAGTTATTGATTAAAGTGTTGATTAATAATCTTAAAAACCATCGAGTTCTTGTTAGAAATAGGTTGCATTTGTCATATCAAGTTTGTCTAGTGCATTTTTAGAACTAACTGATTGAGTCTTGGGCCGCAAATTTCACATTTCTTTTCCTTCCCTATGTGGACTGGGTTGATTTTGCTCTGAGATCTCATATTTGCTAGTATTTATTTGCAGAAACAGGATTGTGAAGCCACAGTTTCTCTGAGGCAGGTTTTGCAACACTTTCCTACTGACTGCGCAGCAGCTGCTGCCAAGGATATCTCGCCACATCTAATTTTCATTTGTCTGTTGCATTTAGCTAATGAGTACTCCCTCAGCATCCATGATCATCCTAGTTTGGATGAACTTGATATACACATTCCCTCTTCGGCACTCGTCAAGTGATACTACCCATCCGAATGGTCACAGTGCACTTCCTGCTCCCATGGCACAGGAGTATTTGAACTGTGGAAGCTCAAGTTGTAAGATGCTGATGTACTAGGAGATGATGTTGGTGTATGTTAGTTAGGGTTTTCCGGGTACTGGTACGTGTTGCTTGCTCAATTTCTCTTCTTTGTTAAAGCTCCATCTGATGGATGAAAAGGTTTATAGCCTTATGCATTGTATGATAAATTAACATGTACAAGGTTTATAGCCTTATCTATTTGCGAAGCATTCTTAAAAAATATTTAATAATGTTTAATTAGAGGCAATCAAAATCTTTTTGCTTCTGAATTGGCCGTCTTGTCCATGTTTGTATTAATTCTGACACCATGGATTATGGATTATGATGACAACAAGTTGTTAACCTCGCTAGGGTTTAGAATCAACTCCACTTTCTCCAAGTGTGCTGCAGCAGTGGTCATCTAGATCTGGAAAGTGAAAGTTTAGCTTTTGCATTTGAAGTAGACCAACCTACTGCAATCGTGCAACTTCGAGTTCCGCATTTGGGGAAAGGCTAAAGAGGTACAGGAAAGTTAAAAGGTTTGTGATACAACAAAACGCTCTCTTTTCGTGTCATCTGCCTTGGATTTACGGTGATATGTCTCGTGATAGTAATAACAAAATTGTATATAACACAAATTATGCCCAACATTTTATTGCCTTCTAAGTCTTGCATGTAATACACAAAAAAAAAAAGGTTTGCACCACACAATTATCGACAATCATTAGTTATGCAATTAGATCAAACCAATATTTTGCTTCAGGTCACTCTATCAACTCTTTTTTTTTGTTTTCAAAGGACAAGTGACAAAGGTGAGATGAACATTGCAATAAACTACCAATATCTTCTCCATACTGTATGCCTATGAGATAATGCTTCAATGGCCTGATAAACTGATCACCACAGAAATTTGTTTTGCTACAAGGTATGCACAGTGGGTACCCCAGCTCTGAAGTCAGATACATACCTTTGCGCCAATCCAAACAAGCCAAGAGTGCCACCAGTGTGAAGCATCACTACTTTAGCATGACTTTCGGCTTCTGCATCAGCAAGGAGAACAGCATGCTCCCAAGCAGCCAGAGTATAGATAGGATCCAAAAGAACACCAGTTTGTTGAGCAATTCGCCGGCACAAATCAATTTCACCATTTAGTACCTTTCCAAACCTTACATATGCATAATAACGAGTCAGGAAAAAAGAATATCTGGAAGACCAACAAATATATGCTGCACTTCCTTGTTAGTAAGAGAAATTAGTTAATAATATAAACATTATTAGTTGATTATATCCCAAAGGTTTCTATTGAAATCAAAGTTCTTCCAAATAGAATGTATATCCGTCATTTGGTTCTTTTCTTAAAGGATATTGACAAGGATAACTGGTAGCAATTTAACTGCCAGTAGCTGTTCTTCATGTTCTTTAATCAATTCTGGCAATATTTCATCTATTACTTACAACTTGGTTCCTCTTTTCCCCAATGCCAAATCTCCACCACTGTGAACTTTGGTTAGGTTCAAGCAGATGCTTCTTTTGTATGGGGAGAACCAAAGCAGTCTTCTGTAGACGAACAAAATCATTTTTCTTATTGAAGATACAGGAACAATAATTGTTTACCTACTTTCTCTTTTGCTTTATAGCCATTTTTTATATCATAGGTCAATTCTTTCTACTTCAAGAAAAGGCTTATCTACATGTTATCTCTCTTAAACTTAGTTATTTAAAGTTAAATACTGTGCTTCTCTTGTACCTAATAGTTTAATATCATAGCCCACAAGTTGCCTCTTCAATCCTGATCTTATCAACAGTGACTAATTATGAGAAATCAGAGTTCTATTAGTTTGGAATTTCCACTATCCACATAGCTAGACAATGTACAAAACAGTCAAGAATCAGCACTAAAAAATGATTAACCATCCAGCAAAAGCAAACAAATAATAATCTAAAAGGAGACATTAGAGTGATTACCAGTGAATTCCCTAGTCCTCTGGATGACATTACAGGAACTGTCAGCAAACACTCTTCGGTGTTATCTTAAAGGTTATGCTCATTGCCAATGTAAGTCTCCATATCTCAGTAGGTTTGGGTTAACGGTTATACAAAATCAAAGAACACAATGCACTCCATTTTTTTGACAAATTTGCATCCTGAACTTTGGAAAATCAGGAAACAAACATCAAGTTATATGTATTCGGTTAATGGATGTCTATCTAATTCGAAATAGGACAAAAACTTCTAGATCATCTTATTCATGTCGTATCATCCTTTTCATATTTTTATATTTCATGTCATCCACTAAATGTTAGGTTAGTGATTTCAAAAGGTGCTCAGGCGAGGCAAGGCAAGGCGAGGCCCAAGTGCCTCGTTTACTATCCAAGCTGCACGCTTCAAAGAGGCACTGCCTAGGCGCTCACCCGAGCCCAGGCGCCGGGTGCTTCGGGTGAGCGCCTGGGTTAAATCAGTCGACCGAACCAGCCTGTTAGGTCTGGTTCTATCGCATTTGCGTTAGTTAGTTCAATCGAACCAACTAAAGCTCCGATATCAGCCTCTCTCCGTTGCCCCTAGTGACTTTCCCAACCCTAAGCTGACTCCTGCCACCAACATTTTCTTTCTACTACCACTACCTCTCTTCATTGTCGCTACCACTATCACTACTCTCCGTTGTCGCTGCTCTTCGCTCTACCTCTCTCTGCTGCCGCTGTCGCTACTCTCCGTTGTCGATGCTCTTTGCAGCCGCTGTCGATACTCGCCACTGCCACTATCGTTGCTCACCGCTATCATTGCTCTCAGTTAGTAGCCTCGGTCTCTTCTCTTCTCACACTCGACTCAGTATATTGTTAACACTAACAGTATACTAGCAATATACTATTAACAGTATTTTTTACTTATTAGATTAATAATATATTATTTCGATTTTAATACTGCTAACTTTATTTATTGTTTAGACTTCTGTTAATGTGATATTGTGATTTTATACTTAATATTTTCTTAATTTAATATCATATTTTTATTTAAATAATTATATTTATTAATTATATTATATATTTTTTATATTTTAGCGTCTCGCTTCGCTCGGGAAAACGCCTAGCGCCTTAGGCGTTTTGGAACCTTGGCGCCTTTTAGCGCCTAACGCTTTTTAAATTACTATGTTAGGTGTGGATAGTTGAAATTTGTTTCTTGTACCATGTCATTAACTTAAAGTCATGTCATGCATGCCAACAAGTTCAAACATGCCTAATAAATCCATGCTTAAAACATAGGAAAAAATTATATCTAAGTGCTTCTCAAAGTAATATGCAACTTTTTCTGGTTCCAATGAACATTTTAGAGGTTCAGTATGAACCACAATAAGCCACTGTTATAAGCACATAACCAGATTTTTCATGATCGAACATCAAAACTGAGTAAATACAATATTCTCATGCCATTATATGATTACTGAGTTAGTTTCCGTACAAATTAATTTCATGTCAAACAAAACATTAATACAATGGAGGTACAAGAAGATTAGTACTATTATAATGAAAGCACTATTAGAATGACGGATTCCAAGCAAAAAACTTTTTCAAGACCATTATAATGCAACTAAGAACGTAGTCAAACAATGGTGAAAATCTAAAGAAGAAAGTCACCTCCTCGGATGAAGACGGTCAACCCAATGAATGATTCCCTCATTTTGTTCAACAGTTTCTAACCCATAAATACTCTTGAAATTTGATATGAGGCATTTCTCACGCTCCTTGTACCAGTCCCGGCTATCAGCAAGCGTGACTGCAGTTATTCTCCATGGAAGCCTGTTAAAAAAAAATGAAAATAGTGCATTGAGCAGAAATGTGATCAGAAAACAAGTTTTTATCAGATCTTAATATGCTATGCAATGATGATACAAGCATAAAAACATAGCAACAATACAGCCAAATGCCAAAAGTTACAGACGGGCCAGCAAGGAAGAGATGATACAGCATGAAAGTAGATAGGCACAAGGCATAATTCTTGACAGTGTCAGCCAACCCAATATGAACTGATGTGAACCTAGCAGGTTCACTTGGAACTATCTCAGTTTTGATCAATAGAATGTTGATAAATAAGAATGGGTTCAGACTCAATAACTTGAACCTGCTGATCTGAATTGAGTATTAATAAAAACATTAAATATTTTAAATTGTCCTACATGAGTTAAACACACACCATACTTGTATAATAAAGGGAAATCATGCTGTTGATAAGGTTAAGCAAGTTTATCATGTCCTGTCTAAGAAACATAAATAGATTGTGAAGCAATGCTACCATTACATTTTTGACCTAATCTAAGGTTGCAAGTTGACTTAAATGGAATAGATTGTGTTGCAAATTGACGAATTGAATAGGTTTGATGTTGTGACATGATTATCATACAAGTGGCTTTGTGTTGACAATCCACATTCGGTAAACACATCTCACTTGACATGAACATGACATAAACCAATTGTCAACCAGACTATTAATGGAATGAGGTAATGAGATCAGCAATGCAGCAAAATATTCTGCCCTTGCATCATATGTTCTGAGTTCAAAATCCAAACCAAACTTTCAATCCTGATATCTAATGTCTAAAACTACATAAGTTTCCAGTCCAAACTAAATGAACTCTCTCAAGGTTTCCTACTGGTGCAATAGAACAGGCAGTTTTGGAAAAGGCAGGATAACTAAAACTTGAACAGCAGAAAAGTAATGTCTGGAAAAAGAAAACCTCACTAAGATTTTGAGCGCACCCAAAATATATGATCCCCAGAGCTAAACCAATAGCTGTTGTTCCAGTACCCGAATCTAGGACTAGAACAATTTGCTGATCTCTTCCAAATACGTGAGCTTGAGAAAGGTATTTCACTAGCCGGATGATACCTATAAGATAAAATCAGAACAGACAGTCTGGTGCAGATATCTGGTCATCTGTTGATGTATAAAGCATCAAATTCTTGCAAAATAAATGTGAGAGAATAGGAGTGATGACAAAATAAGAGCTGTAAGTTTGATTCTTTGATGTATAAAAAAATATGTTGACTTATGATTGTAGATATCACTTAGTAGATAAGAATATACAGCTACAAAATGTCAGCTGTAGATGGGAGCAAATAGAAGAAAGAGATAAACCACTAAAAGATACAATAGTGTTAACAGGGTTACTATATGCATCATTTAAAGGGGGCAAAGAAGAACAACAGAACAGGTTAACTGCATCTATGCTACTTCGGTTCCATAAGAATTGATGCTATTATTATTCACATGCAAGATTCAAACCTACTACGAACATAACAATAATAACATTTTATCTTGGTTTCATCCATTTATTATTCACATTTCTTCTTCTCCAGCCTCTCATAAATTATGATCTCATCCACAAATCACTTTGCAAACACTTCATGCACAATTTTTTTAAAATTGAAGGAAAAAAAAATCTTCTACCTACTTATATATTACAGCTAATATGCAAATATGTACATGATGATTATAAGGATTTGAAGATGCAGCTAACACATGGGAAATTTAACAACATCAGTATGTTTCAACAGAAGCTGATTGGAAAATTAGTTTTTTTTTAAGAATTGGCACAAATGGTTACTTGTTTCTTCAAAATTTTGAAATACTTTTTCAATGTTAGACATGAATATAGAACCAAGCATTTAAGTGCTACTGGCATACCCAGTTTGTTGGTTGGTGACACATTATCTAGTGCTGGTACAGCATGGAAAAATATTGTGCCAACATGGGTAAACTTGGCAGCAAAGTTAGCAAAGAGACTACAAAACCTGGTGATGAGGGAATTTATTGAGAGAAAGATTGTAACATATAAATTGGTCTTGTCTGAAAAACAGTTTATTACTAGTTGAGTAATATCTATCTTTCCAAAGAGTATACTTCAGTATTGAATGGTACATTATTTCTCTTAATGTGCTACTGTGGTTACCACTTGTAGTTTTCTATAAATTTCAACTTTCATTCAAGTGTTGATATTTTTCTTTTATATTATCTTTTCAATGTTGAATTCCCAAAAACAACTCAAACATGCAACCTAAATTACTTGGCCTGTGAAAACAGAAAAAGCGAAAGTTTTCTAAACCTTGCATGCTCGTAATAATGGTTAGAACACAACAAAAAAATCATGCATAAGATACTAAAATTGCAAAAGTGTAGGAAGAGAGGAACTACACCAACTGAATCAATGAGCAGACATTGTCCAACTAAAACAAGTTGAAAAAAGCTTTTATCAATGGAGTATACCATGTGAATTATAAATGCCTAGATTGTAAAGGAAAATATCCAATCATATGATGGCTGCCCCTGTGTATGAGAGGTTGAGTTCTAGAGGAAAGTTAGATCCTTGAGATAGATGCAACATATAGAGATTGACAATATATGAGTTTTTTATTCAAAACAGAAAATTGACAACAGGAAACTAAGATTACAAGCTGGATAAACAACATAGCATTACTAGCAAAGCTGTATAAATTGTGAAACCTTTCTGATAAAGTGTTTGCAATACAGACTCTTTGGGTAACAACCACGTAGCATATAGATTAACTCAAGAACGCTGTCCTTCATAGTTCATCAGTGATTAGACAAAGGAAGATGGATTCTGATAAAAAAATATGCTTCCCTATTATTGATAAAAATATGTATCTAAAAGAAAGTTTGTAAGCTAAGAAATATATGACTATATGTATGAACCACATACATCTACCCAATTCTATTAACCAATGCAACATGACATATTGTTCATATGAAATAGAACAAACACTATGTATGGAATTACATGAAATGATCATACTACCTAAGGACCAAATAAAAGCACTTTTGAATTCACAAGCATAAGAATGGATACGTTCGATGACATTAATCAAAGAGAATTTGCTTTCAAGATAATGATCAAGTCAGCCTACCCAATAATCCTACGATACTGCAAGCACCTTCATTGACAATCACAACTCTTCTCAAACTCGTTTCACTTGAACACTCCGAAAGAGGATCTCCACGGCCATCCATAGGCACACTATCACTCTCGTCCAAATTCAAACCATTAGAATTCTTCAGAATATCATCCACCCAGAGGACATTCCCCTCACCACCTGCAACCGACTCGGCGTGCTTCAGAAGCATCTCTTCCCTCCTCGCGTATGTGGAGCGCTCGACGTAGCTCACGCTCCCATACATCAACGACACCAGATTGTAGCCGGTGGGCACCTCCGGCTGCTCTCCTCTCAGCAACAGGTGCGCCCTTAGCCCCCTCTCCGCACAACAAACAGCTGCACCAAAGCCCATCGACAATCAAGTTCAAATCTGGAAAGGGGAGGGAGAGAGGGTGATCCTACCAACAGCAGCGGCATGAGCACTTTGGCAGCCTCCACAAGTGACCTACCAAAGAAATCACGAAAACAATAATGCTCATGATTTCGATGCAAATGATGAGACAAGCGCCGAAAAGGAATCACCAGGTCGGTAGCAGAGTGGCGTCGGAGGAGCGGGACGAGGGCATCGAGCTTTCTCGCCTTGTTGCCGTTGACCAGTGGATGCAAGAGGTCGTCCCGGATCAAGTAGAAGGACGGGGCATCGAAGTCCCTGACCTCGACGGTCGAAGCAGGGCCACCAAGGACGGGGGCGAGGTCGCTGGAGTATGAGGACGAGGAGAGGGAGATGCTGTGGATTGGGGCGGCCGGGGAGGGCAGCATCCACTGGCGGTGGAGGAGAGAGGAGCAGCGGCGGACGAGATTAAGCCTCGAGACAAGGGGCCGCGGCCGTGGAGGTGGCACTGTGAACCGGCACAGCAACATCCGCTCCGCCGCGACTGCGCGCTTCGAAGTGGCAGCAGCCTTTGTTTGACGTTTGTCTTTGCTGTCATTTCTATTATCCTCCCTGGCAAATTTAAAATTAAAGAATAAATCTCATATTCAAATCAACACATCATTTGCTATATTAATTTTTTTTCAAAAATGAATATTATATATATATATATATATATATATATATATATATATATATATATCATCAGCAGATAAGAGATAAGTTTAAACAAAAAAAAACAATTATTCAAGTCACATTAAAATATAAACCTTATTATTATTTAAAATAACATTAAATCGATTTTATTCTAAATATCCACGTATAGATTTACATATTAATATTTAGGTAATTTTTCTAAAAAATACATATTTTAATTATTTTTCAATCAATACCCTTATTTTATTTTCCCTAATTTTAAAAATACTCAAACCATCCCTCAAATTTTTTTTCACTTATTACAGTTTTTTAGTCTGTGGCCACAGTATTTTAGCCATCACAACAAAAACACTTAAAATCTATTTGAAAATACTATAAATAATCTAAATAGACTTTTAACCTCAATCAAACTAGCTAGAAGCCTAAAAATATGATATTATAATTATCTATGATGAATGACAATAAAAAAGGCTTAATATGATGATATTTATAGTATTTTTTAATAATATTTTTAATACACAAATAAAACACTGTAAATGTTATTAAAAAATACTATAAAACGAGCCAAATGAAAACCTCATAACAGTTGGAAACTGATTAAAAGAATAAACAAAAAAGATTGATGAGCAAATTTTAAGAGATATTCTAGATTTTTTTAAAAATTAATGATATTATTTGAAAAAAATAAAAGAAGCGTATGTTTTGAAAAACATCTAAAATCTTATTTTATATATATATATATAGATATATATATATATATATATATATATATATATATATATATATATATATATATTTTGTAGCTCCTAATTTCCACATTGATCTCTCAATTCACTTTTACTTGCATGCAAGTTTGCAAAATCTTAGACATTAACCATAACAGTAGACATATTCCAAGAATTTCTTACCAAATAGGGTTAATATGTTAGACATTAACTTGTTAAAACAATGAACAACCATATGATGCATCAATTTGCATTGTCTGACCGCTCCAGAAAGATGGCAACACCTTTCTCATGCCGTTTGCCATACGGGAAATGTCCCTGTCGATACCCAGCTGTGAACAACCAACTACAGCTATCGCTGAATGACTCGTAATAATACTCATCTTACCTTGAAGTTTCTAATGTGGTGCTAAGGTTCAAAGATATCAGAAGCTTCCGCCAAAACCATTAGGAGAATCCAAATGTGAATTCTCATCATTGGATGTAGCTCCAGCAAATGTAGGTTGAGCTTGAACTTATACTTTCTAAATTCAACTCAGTGAAAAAACAATTATGCATGTAATTGCCAGCATCAATTAACTACCAAAACTGGTGCAAAAAAGTACCTAATTCAGCTCACTGGAGTTGTCAGCTGCTATACTGAACACTAAAAAGATTAATAAATAAATAAAAACACACGTACATCGTATCCAAATCTATATTAAAAAAGGTGTAAGCATAGGACTGAAATCTAGATACAAAAAGGCTTACATGGTGGTGAGCGTCAATATTTGATTGATTTAGAGTGCCAGAATAGTCTCTTCTTTTTTCTTTTTTGTTTAGCTCTACGTATAAGTTCATGCTGAATTTAGTAAAGTGATTAATGTAAAAAAAACAGTCATAAAAAGGTTACTATAACACCTGATCTTGGTAAGTAATTTTGTATCTTAGGCTGTGGCTTGTATTACAGAACCAAATAACACTCGATCTGCATTCATCCAACTGACCTGATACAATCATACAATGACTGCTATTTCTCCTGGCTTTTATGAATATATATGGAATTCTTTACAATATCCAGATGTTGAATTTAAGCATTCAAAGATAATCTCCAATGTATCATGAAAAATGACCATCTACTGTCTAGCATATATTTCTGTCCAAATCTTTTAATCGAAAAATAAATGATGACAATCTAAAGCAATATGTTGTAAGAAAAAAAAAAACAAAAATAAGAGGTTGACAACATATTAACAAAATCCTCTATTACAAACATGACTTTGTTAAGCACAGATGGGATGGAGATTATTTCATGACAACGCATAATCTAACCCCTTACAAGAGAATCTCGAGCGTAAACCCGTACCTTTCTGAAGCTAACTTATAAAAAGGCATTTGGCTCAGGCACAATACTGCAGTTTCTCCCAAATTTGGAGCTAAACGAGTCAGATTGTTTCTCTTCTTTGTTCAAACAAATCGACAATTTTCATGCATGGATTTTCTGGATGGTGGTATAGATGCAAGAAGGAATCAAGACAAGGTGATTCACTTAATACCAACTTCTCTCTTCCTCTTCACCGACCTTTATCACCTTTTGCTGCAGGGCCAGAGGGAGATCTTATTTTCAGGGCTTGCAATAGAATGTGTAATCGGGGCAGTTCATATAATCAAGTTTGTTGATGACGTAATCGTATTCTGCCAGGATGGCCAATAGCAACTTAAGAACCTCAGACTGCTTCACATACTCCAATGATTTTTTACCTGAAAATAATCATGCTAGTCCCGAATGATTTATCTCAGCTACTCACAGAGTCAAGGGTTGACTTTGGCAAACCTATTTGGATCACTCCAGATGATGGAACTGTCTTGGTCTGCCCTTTAGAGACCATAAACACCATACGGATCATGATCAGTTGCCACTTCTACTAATTACTGGAAGCAGGTTGGCACCTCAGCAAGCAAAAACTGTATCCACCACAAGGCACTTGGTGTTCACAAACTGCATCCTTATATATCTTACAAACTACACATAGGAATTCATTAAACATCAAAGTAAATGACAAAGTTTGAAAATGCTTCCTGTGGACAGAAACTGGAAATACAAAGGTTTCCTCGTCACACAGTAATAGATCTAAACCAGAAGAGGGCTTGGCATCTTATCACTTAAACATCAAAATATCATCCTAATGGGCAACTGAGCGAGCATGCTACTTAAAAGTCTATTAACTACCTTTGTATTCACAGGTGTAATTGGAATAAAGACTGTGATCACCTTGTTTGGCTGTACTTACAGAAAAACATGCTGCAAGCAAGAGCCACAACACACTCATTCACTTATGTTTTGGGGTGAGTAGAAATAGTAAAATTTGGAAAGGTTCTTGGTGTGGCTCCCCCTTAAGTACTGATTCTTAGATTTGTTCAAAGCTGCTTTCCAAGCTACCATGATCAGTAAAATACAGACTTATCCAATTTATAATATGTCGAATAAAATTTAATCTTCCACTATATTATGAATGTATCCAGAATATTTGCATTGATTATCAAACTACCAACAGATTCAATTCAGACTTAACAGCACAATTATAAGGCCTCACATGTCAATTAGAGTCGAACCTTTCTTTAATTAATGATATGAACATCTCTTGAATATTTCCATCGATTATTGACTCCACAGATTCAATTGTCTGATTTTTTAGGTGCAAGTATACAACCTAAATGTAATAATGGATCATTCTCTATCATGATCCTTATCTTAATATGGTAGTGTAAAACCAATATCTAGTCTACACCTTGTAAATGGCTACTTACCAAGCAAAAATATGGATTTTTGACTGGGTTTCTCCATTATAACTAGCTTCAGACCAAGTGTTTTCTTCAAGACATGCTAGATCTAAATCAATATCCATTGTTACTCAGCAGGTGGGAAGCTTTGTTGTGCTCCACCAGTTACGAATGTCCCCTCAAACGTTCCAAAACATGCAGCTTACATGTATACTCATGAATCACACTGATTTACAACTAAAAGCATGGTGGGTTTAAATAAGCCTGGTTAGAGAAAAGTGATGAACATTCCTTGGATAATATTTGGGGTTTACAGTTAAATGAGAGGGTTTATTGATTTTTTTGCCATTAAAATTATCACTGTCCACATTAATTGCATGTCAGGAATGTCGGACTATTTTATGTTGTATGCTCCCCCTTTTGCCTTATCCCTTGTTTTCTCTTTTTTCCTTGTTCACTTCCATAATATCATTCCATTAGAAGTAACATGGAGGCTCATGATCCTTCCTTTTTTGATGACAGGTCAGGCATCTCTTTCCTTCGGAGAAAGTATGAATTTATTTACAATGGAAACATGATAAAAAATTTTGCCACAAGCCAAAATCAGCTTGATTGTTCAACAAAATTTCTCTACTTGCATAAAAATTTTCACTCTTTAAATAAATGAACTTGGACTAGTTACCTATATGATACAGGATTAGCCTTTGGTTTTGTTGCACTGGTCTTCTAGTGCTTCACTTTACACGTCCTCTCACTTCTATTCTCCCCATTTTCACACATCTATTAGAAAAGAGTTTTATTGAGATATACGCATTTAGAAGAAAAATTAATATAAACAAGAAAGAATATTGAATGCATAAGATTAACTCAAACAAAAGGTACAAAAACATGCCAAAAACATATGCAGATTAAAGCCAAACAAGTAAATGATATTGTAGAAAATCCCATGATTAAGGGATTCTATAATCCCAAAATTAAGGGAATCTATCCCCTATTTTGGGCCACTCAATCAAGACCAAAGCAGCCCATATTATAGGAAATAGAGTAGAATGAAATATTGTATAGAATCAATTATTTGTAATCAGCCTATGTATGTCTTCCTTTGTACACAGAAAAAAAAAACGAATAAGAAAAATTATATTCTCTTGTGTTCATGGCATCAGAGCCCAATTCCTAGAGAAATCGTTCTTCTTCTTTCTTTCAGCCTTAATTCATAAAAAAGTTTCCTCTATTTAGCTACTCTTCGGATCAGCACCAACTATTTCTTATTTCTTGTTTGCTTGTGAGGAACCTACACTACTATGTTTGGAGGAGAGAAGATGAAACCATTGCTTCCATCTCCAACAAACAACTTAGGTGAAAATCCATCCTTGCTGATTACAATGCATAAACTCAACGGACAAAACTTTCTTCATTGGTCTTAGTCCGCAAAGTTGTATATTCAAAGAAGAGGAAAGATCAACTATTTGATCGAATCAATCACAACACCTGCAGAAGATGATCTCAAGTTCGAGTGTGGGATTATGAAAATTCCATGATCATATCATAGTTAATAAACTTTATGGAACTAGAAATTGATCAAATATACATGTTTTTACCAATAGCAAAGGAGTTATGAGATGCTGTGGTTGAGACGTATTCAAATATGAGGAATTCAGCCCAAGTATTTGAGATTATGACAAGAGCTTAATATTTTTTATGATTTTGAGTGGTCATGTGCTGTTGATAGTGCTCAATACATAAAAATGCTTAAAGCCTTTTAATTTTTGATAGGTTTAAACAAAAAACTAGATAAAGTCCATGGAAGGATATTGGAGAAGGATCCATTGTCATCTATCCAAGCTATATTTTCCAAAGCTAGAAGGGAGGAAAGTAGAAGACATGCCATGATGGGATCTTCTACTCCATCTGTGGTTGCAGAAAATTCTGCACTTATTATGATAGCTGAAATTAATTCTTTTGCTAATGTTGTGCAACGTAATCAAAGGAAGTTAATAAAGGCAAAGTTTACTGTGATTTTTGAAAAAAAACTAAGACATACAAGAGAAACTTACTGGAAGATTCATGGAAAACCAGCAAACTGGAAGAACAATCGAGTTCCAGATAAGGCTAATAGCCAAGGATTTTAAGTAAACTATCAATCTGCCACCATCTCTAAAGGAGCCGAAATGCCTCTATTCAGTAAGGAACAAATTGAGCAACTGTTTAAGTTTCTGAACAATCCCAAAATCTTAATCTTTCTCCTTCATCATCTTGCTCTTTGGCCAAAAAAGATAATTGTTTCACAATTTTGTATGCTTCTTTTGGTCTTAAGGCTCCTTGGATCATAGATTCAGGCAACAAATCATATGATTAACCTTTCACACTTGTTTTCCTCCTACACACCTTATCCTAGAAACTCTAAAATAAAAGTTGTTGATGGATCACTTTCCTCTATAACATGAAAATGCACGATTGCAATTTCAGATTCCTTTACACTAAATTCTGCGTTTTATGTTCCGAACTTGTCTTGTAATTTGTTGTCTATTAGCAAACTCACAAAGGATTTACGCTGTGTTGCTAAATTCTCTTCTTTTCATTGTGAATTTCAAGACCTGTGTTCGAGGAGGACGATTAGCAGTGTTAAAGAGAGTGAAGAACTTTATTCTCTTAAAGAGGATGCTACTTGGAATGGACAAGCTCAGTTAATAATAAATAATAACACTCCCTCTACTAGTAGTGAAATAATGTTGTAGCACTATAGACCAAGGTATATAGTTTCGAATAATACTACCCGTACCGGACGGTACGTACTGGTCCGTCAGTTGATCGGTACACGAACCGTCCGTTACCGGACGGTATATATATATATATATATATATATATATATATATATATATA